ATTAATCTCTATGAAAAATTTGGGCACATTTTTTTATTCAATATTATTACTGTTTTAATGGCCATTAACGAAAATGTGATTTTATAACTTACATTTCTCTACCCCTTTCACACAGAGAAATAAATACCGGTAATAAATAGGATTCCGTTTATTTTTTCTTCTCAGGTTCACTTAAATGACCCATAATCCTGCACTGCATAACTATCACATGTCCAAACAGACAAACACCACATGGCCAAGCACCTCCTTAAATATATACACAAATTGCAACATTTAGGACATTAATATCAGTTAGCAATAGCCCCCCGGTTTTAATTATGAGTTGATTGAATTATGATAACTGTTGCACAAATTTAAAAAAAATGACTAACTGGCTGACACCGGTGTCAATATTTCATACATTATTGTTTAGCAGGCAAATTATGATGATCATGATTACATGCCACACATCTGAAATAAAATAAAAAGGGGACTAAAAATAAAGCAGCCACTACTTGACTTTCAATGGTCTTTTAAGGGAAATTGGTTGCTCTGGATTTTATTTAAGGGTAGCAGAATTCAAAAAGTTGCACTGCACCGCAAGTGCACCGCAAGTTTAATGCACTGCACCTTTCTTTAGATTTGTATTGCAAAATGTTGACACCACTGTATTAGAGCTGGACAATATAGCCAAAGCTTACAAAAACTTAAATATTATAATATATTTCTTAATTTTGGTCCATACAATGTAATTCAGATATCAATATAAACAAAAACATTATATATAAAAGCCTCATGAAATGCAGCTTTAAGGGGTTACCCCTCCTTTCTTATGTTCCTCATTTCATGGCTTCTTGCTTTGTTCTGTTTCTCCGTCATTGCCTTCTTTATTTATCATTTTTATAGATAACCTTTATATAGTCAAAAAGACATTTATTTAACACATTCAGTCCTGAAAGACAAAACTAACCAATCACTATAATAAACTAGCAAAACAACTAAGAACTCATAGCTAGCACACACACAAAAAAAATAAGAGAGTAAAGTTTCCCAGTTAATTCACAAAAATCTAACTTTTGATAAACACTTACTGATTATGTAGGCATAACTTCACAATAAGTAGCTTCTTCTGTTGTTTTTTTTAATCATCCTATTAGGATCCCTTGCACCCCTGTCATAGCTCTAGTCTTGTAGTGTTCTGTTTTTTAATAAAAGTAAGTTTTATTTTCTCCTCATCTCCATTAGAAACCAAACACATCCCAGCCCTATTTTTTTTCTCTAACTGGACACAGCAAACATTGACAAAACGAGTAACATTTGCACAATGTAGTGGCAGCTTAGTTTTCAAATATAACATTATATTTCAAATATATCGGACCATGCATTTAAATAGAAATTTGTACGGGCGTACATTGTACACTCTTTACTAAAAATATCAGAATTGGTGCACCCCGTTTTTGGGATATATGGCTTTGATGTGCCCCAATTTTCCCGTAGAATATGGTGAAATATCTAATGTCCCTACGGACAACTTCATTTGCGGGAACAACAATGCTGCACTGCTTACAAGCAGTGCACTGCTTATAAGCTTCGAACCCTAAAAGGTTTACGAAGACTCATCGAATGCCTGATAAATATAAGATAATTTTGGAGGGTTTGTTGTTCTTTGGGAAAATACTGTCAGTGGAATCGGGGAAAAACAACAGCTAATGTAAATGACAACTAGGGAGGGGGGCGCAACCGGTACTAAATCAGTAGCAAATGTCGAAAAGATGCCACAAATTTTTTTTTTATTGTTCTTCAAGGTAATTGGATTTCCAAAAGATCGATAAATAGATGTGGTTTGTGGATAACAGTGTGATTATTTTTCCATTTGGACATTTACAACTAGCATAACTACACTTCAGTGCAACAGCCCTGCTTGTGTAACACATCGGCTTACATTTACAAGACGTGCTAAGACATAAGAAAATGATACAACCAAGTTTCGGAGTCAGTTTCAGCTGTATTCTTAATAGAGTAGAAACAGAAATAAAAGCAGTCCTAACACCTTCACCTCTGCTGGTTTGCAGAATGTGTTGTGGTATTTTTAGATTGTTCTTCAGTTTGTCAATGTTCGACTTGTTGTATATGTAACAATCAAGTTTCACCTTTAGCAGTAAGTTTATGTTACACTTTCTGAATGTTTGAATTAACCTATGAAACATAATATTGTACCTCAAAATGATCTAATTTCTTCCTTAGGAAATTTCCACCTCTATTCAAGCACATATGCTTCCCAGAATCAGGACAAAAAAAGTATTGTAACATAGAAAAAAATAATTAGCTGCATTCCACCTTAAAATATAGGAACTAGCATTACAGAGGGGAAGATACCCCCGGACCCCCATATAATGCTCACTGGACGAAGCCTAAAGATGCGATTCCTAGCTAAAAGCCTGTGAGGACATTAAAGGCTATTTCTATTTTATTCTATAATCCAATGCATTTTAAGTCAAATTCATAAAAAATAAAATACTTCCTTGATCCCAAAAGGAAAATTAAAGCATACACCATGCTTGTAATTGTAGTACGACAAACTAACACAACTTCAACAGATACTCATACTTCTGCAAAGGAATTTGAATATTTACTAATGCATTTTAAATGACTCATAAACTCACTTAAACTACCTAAAAACTCACTTATATTCTAAAACTGTTATTTTTGTCTTTAAAAAAATCTCTGCAACCAACATAATTGGCTGTGAATGTGATTTAGTATCTGTTCAAACAGAAGATTAGATTTTGCTCTGTCTGCTTGGCTTGTCACCAATGACTCATGATTCTAGATTTCATGACTTATCTAAACAAGAAAAGAAAAAACATCAAAGGCAAGTGTTTCACTTCAAAGAGTTGGCACAATGAGGAAAAACTGAATCACGCAGCCCATCTCTTCTGTTTTCTCCTGAGACGCTGCAGACACAACCATAACACAACAGGAAGTAACTGACTTCTATTCAATTGAGGGTCAATTTGCCCTTCCGATTGCCATCAGTTAGCCATACGATTCCTGCGCGGAGGCTTCTGTAAAAGGCAGCCATCCTAAATGAGACAAACAATAAGATTGCTGGATAGAGATCGGGGCGGGGGGAGTTCAATAAACCTCCTACAGTTCTAAATATGGACTTAGGTTTCCCCATCTGTAAGATTCAGTATAACTCATAACATATTTCAATTGTTTGGACAGGAAAATAAAATAAAAGGTAAAAACTTTAAAAGAAAAAGCCACTAAAGAACTAGAAGAAGTTCTTGTTGAATAGTAAAATTCAGATATAAAAAAAAGTATAATACCATATCAGCATAGAAAAATGGGAGATATTTAAACAGAAGCAGTTTTATCGGCAGGCAATCTAAAAATCTTTGTGCCTCTTTTAAATACCAAGCACTACTCAGATTCAGCTGATAAAGCACACAGACAATCCAGTGTCAGGGGATTTTTTTTCAGGGATAAGGGATGTAAACAAGCAAAAATTCCTCAGATGTTTCTGATGTAAATCCAAGACAGCACTTTCAATGTCTGATTTTAAATTAAATAAAATCACCTAAATAGCACACAAAATTCTCTTAACTTTAGAAAGTTATAGGAGCTGAGAAAATGTCAACCTTAATGTGCCTTTCTATAACACACAGATATATAAAGCCTAGTCAAGCATTTCTCTGTGAGCCAACATAATAAAGTTGTGATTTTTTTTTTCTATTTTTTTAAGGACCTTTATGCCATTATGGTTAACAAAGTTAGCTCATGAGAGCCGCCGAACTGAGCATTACTCTGTCTGAGACAGCATGTCTCTTTGTTTACACTACAGGCATAAAAAATGTTGCTATGAAAAAAGGTCTGATTGAAACTTTTGCACTACTTTCTATACACCAAAGCCATCATAGCTTGCTTATAAAATACATAAACATAAGATTATCTGCCTTACAAAATTCGGATTTTAATACATACATCTATTTTATTTTTTTAGAACAGGGTGATTCCAGATTAAAAATCACATGAACTGGTTAGTCAGGAGTCGGATTGGAGGGATGACTAAAATGAGGACCTCAACAACTGAACTAAGGCTTTCCCTTCATAGAGGTGAACTCAGTGGGTCTAAATTATGTTTATCTGTACCTTATTTATTGTTTGATCTTCTATTATGAAAGGTAATATCTTCACCTCATGGATACATGCTTCTCATCGGCAATCATGTATAAGAATATGGTGTCTTCTAATGAAAATGAAGAGCAAACCTTGCCCCTTTCATTTGTTTTTCAGACTAGGACAGTTGTTATATAGCTAGGCATCTTAAAGTGAATGAAATCAAATATACATTTCCATTTTTCTGACCTTTGCTTCAAACACATGCAGTCTCACAATCTGGCAAAATTCTCAGTTTCTGACTTTGGGACCATTTGTTGGCCAGTAGAAAGTTGGACAAAGAGGTCATAGAGAAAAAGACCCTTGGCATCCTCTGTCATAGATCACAAGGGGCAAAATCCAATACGATACGCAGGAATTCATTTATTTAAAAAAAAAAAAGTTAAGGACCATCTATGTGTTTTTACTAAACAATCTAAGCTTGTTTTAAAGGCAGCATAAATGACAAAGTATAATCAAATCACTAATAGTATCGCTATCAACAGACACATGTGCTACAAAAATCTCTTGATTTCACTAGACTGGTGAACAGGTTACTCACTGCAAGATAAAGATCTAAAGTAGGCGACACATTTTTAGAGGAGCAGATGGTGTCCCCGTCTGGTATTACAGGGGCTTCGGCCTAAAAATCCCAAAGACAGAGCTTAAACAAGCAGCCGCTCTGTCACTCCGTCTGCCTCCACAAACCATGAGTTTAATAAATTTTTAATCTAATTATTTAATCACTTGTTTTCATTGTGTTTATCTGTGCTTTAGGATTATTCGGTAACAAACTTTTGATCCTGTCTAGTTTAAGGGTGTGCCTCTATTGTACATCTCTAATGGGGAACTCTTCTCACCTCACAGAAAGAGGATCTTGCTTGTTGTCTCTCGTCTTCTTCAAAAGTTGGAACCCAACGTGATGCCATCATTCAATGTCAGTGGAATTACTGCCAGCTGTGAACGCCCACATTGAAAAGCTTGCTAAAGCAAGACCCAATAAAAGATGTCCTACTTGGATTTATACCTCCATGGTGGCTGGATCTCTTAGTCCATCTGTTAAAGAAACATATCACATGTTTAAGAAGTGTGTCAAACTTCTTAAACTTTAAATTAGTCAAGTATACATCCTGAAAGGCTTCACTTTTTTGAGTTTGACCTAACAGGTATAACATTATTTTTTAAAGTTACAGTTCCAGAGCCACTGATAAATTCATCCATCACCGTTTTCCCTCTTTATTAAGTTCTTTAAACAATGTCATTACTAGCTAATGTCAGCTTATGTTAAAATATAATAAGCAGAACAAAACATAAACCTATTATATCATTTCAAACAGAGTTAAAAGCTACTGTCATTGAATACTGATTCATTTTGTTTGATGAAATACAAAATAAATAACGTTTTTTGTAACTACATTATAATAAACAATCTATTATTCACGAGGTTTCATAAAGAGCTGCATTTTAGTAGAAATAAACTGATCAAGTTTTACAATTACCTCTACTTTTTATGTAAATGTTATACTGGTGTTATTTCCTCTGAAATAAGACTTTTTAAAGCTTCACTTTCAGATTAAATGCAAAAGAGAAAATCTGTGTGATCGTTGATTAAACAGGTTAACAGTAGTGCCCATAAAGGGCAATGAAGCTTTAAATTGCAAAAATTATACATCTATATGTGACCAGCACAAGGATCAACAGGTACTTTTTAGATTAGCTTTATTTAGAAAGTAACTTATGAAATAAATAGATCAGATATGGGTTAAATCTATATATTGGTGCATAAATGTTAGCATGTCCTTTTTGCAAGATTACCTATATGTGGAGACATGCAGCCTTTTTATTATTTATCTGATAAAACCTAAAAAAAAAGGGACAAAAATATATCAGCATTACAGGAAAGGCCTGATCTTCGATATGTGACAAAATAAAAAAATAACTGATATACTGGACAGCTAATTGCACCAGTTCTTAGTTAAAAAAGAAATAGTCATACAATAAACTAGTAAACTGGTAGAACAATTTAATTTTGGCATTCACATGTGCTCAACAGCTTAAATACTGTTTTGAATCAGATTACTACATAAACAATCAGAAAAATCACAAAAAAAAAACTGCTTGAATGTTTGGTCTGGACATTATAATTTAACCATTTTCATCTGGAAAATATGCTCTGCAATTTATGGGAGTTGGTCTTATTTCTGATGGTTACTAATCATTTAATAATAACTAACCCAATTCTATTGTTTTACAACCAGCATGTGTCACATATATACATGGCAGATAGTCTGATGTTAAGACAGATATAAATGAGCCCAAAAACTTTATTAATTAAAAAAAAAAAATTGACTGACTACATTTAGTAGCAGGATCCAAACTGATTACTTATAAGTTCTGTGTTTATAATAAGTTATAATCTACTTACATTACGTGAGTATTGGGAGCCTTTTCATAAAATATGCATTCTGTTACTGATCTCGGCTCTAAGTAATCTGACCCAACAAAACCAAACACATGATTGAACATCCACTATAGTGATATATATAAAGCTAAAAAAAAGACGTTATGGTCAGGTTAGCATAATGAATGGCCAGCAACAAGTGGACAACACAATAATAAAAAAAAAACAACCTAAATGACGTTTTAACCTACTTTTCAGACTTAGTATGTATAAAGTGAACGTCATCTTTGGGTGTAAGGTTATTTTCTACACTACAAAAACATATCTACATTGTATTTTAAGTGTATTTTTGTTTGTGCCGTTCAGGAGATCGATGGAGTCCAGCACATCGTGTCGAGCCGTTGTTCTCCAACGCTCAACAAAAGACGCCTTGGATTCGTTACTATTTGCGAAATAACTCCAATAAAAGTTTAATTCCGTCTAAGAAGTCCAAGCTTTTTTTCTCGGCGTATTGTGAAGCTACGTATAAATGTATATGGATAAACAGAATCAAGCAACGCAGCTGCGGCAACAGGCTGCTAGCCGTTAGCATCCATGCTAACAGAGTTTTTAACAAAGTTACCTGTGTAGCTGAGAAGTGTCTCAACGGGAGTCCAGCAGCGGCGGTTGGTTTTAAAAGCCAGAGAACAAACTAAACACATCGTGTTTCTGCTGGTGTTTTCCCCGAGGCTTTCATAATATCCATAATGTTTCAATATTATCGACTTCCCGGTGATTAATCCAAACCTACTGAGTGGAAGCGCATGGGGCAGTTTAGTGGCTGCCGGACTTTTTTTTTTTTTTTTTCCTCTTTCCAGTTTTCCCGTCTCTCTGGGAGTCCACCTTCGGTCAATAGCGCACTCTCAACCAATCACAGGCGTTGTTTCATTTGAGCGAGCCAATCGGGTACACGGTTACAGAATGTTGTGGTTTGTCTGCAAAAGTTGGTGTTTTTAACAGGTCGCCGAGGTCCAACTCCTTTGTGCACCCTCCAAAAAATCCCATAAGCTATTCGCATTAAAGTCTGCTGCGATCAAACCGTTTAAGAGCTCCACTCTGCATATATGCCTTGTTACCACAAACCACGTTAGTTTCTAAACACGAGGGTAAAGGAGAAGTCACATGCTGTGGTTCAGTGTGAGGTCGAGCTGGGCATGAGGATGAGGGTTTTTTTTTTTTTTTTTTGTCACACATACCACAGTGTATTTCAGATGTTATTTCTGATCAAAGAATACTATCACAATTACACCACAACCCCAGAGATAATTTATGCAGGCTTAAATCAGTAGCCAGACTCCAAGGCCTCGGACAAATGTCCCTTTTTATGCATCTGGAACATAAGGGGCCACCTGTTCTTGGAGCTGGCAGCTTTTGTTACAGAGGTCATTTCAGGGAGGAGACTTTTGTACGGCTGTCTTATCTTCTGAGTTGTACATTTTTGTTGGTTACATTTATTAAACATGTTTTAAACATTTAGTCTATTTAATTGATATGTATTTATATTAATTACCACCAAATGACAGAACTGGAGTATATGTTTAAATTCATTATCTCAGGGTTAAAAGAAAATAACGAATACATTTAAACATAAAAAGAATAATCAAGTAATTTTTTTTTAGGTATGGATAAGTGTCTGTAGACTATTTCATTTTTAAAAGTGCAGCCTTGATAAAGGTAAGCAGCAGTGATAAAAACATTGTGATGAAAAAAAAGATACTGTATAGTTACAGTCCATTTATCCACACTCCCATTCCTCTGTAATCCATCCATTCATTCTTTCATTTTAAAATCCTGAGTTGTGACGTAATGACCGTTATAAATTGTTCATTAACTTTTGCATTAAACTATATAGTACTTTCAATTTTCTATTATACTGGTTACAGTACAAAAATGATAAAACAGAATAAAAATGGAAGTTTGAGCAAAAAAAGGGGGGAATTTTCTGCTGTTAATATACTATAAACAGTTTTGCAGGTTACTTTTGTTTCATTACAACTTCATATTGCCCAAACAATAATTGTAGACACAAAGCTAAAGCTGCTGTCATTCTTTCTTTTGCAGTTTGATATATAGAAAAATAAAGAAGTCACTATTATTAATAGTATTAAACTAACTATAGCATCTTATCTGAAAGGTTTTTAGATTTGCAATCAACATGATTCATTTTGGTCTGGCTCCACAGTTAAATAGATCCCGATTGTCATGATAGAAACAAAAATATTCAATCAGTACCAACACAAATATTTGGACCACAGTTTGAGAACTCTGTGCAAAGAGAATTTTAGTAATAGCATTTTTTTAGGGATTGAATCAAGACATTATTGTGTTGGAGCTCAGTTCTGTTGAAAGGTCAGAGACAATTATCTGTAATCCCCTAAAGACCTTCAGAGCCAAAAGGAAAACCGTTTCGTCCTCTCGGCACTCTATGTTCCCAGCTTTGACGGCCAGCGTCGAATGTCAGGTATAAACAATGAGCAAAGTGCCCGAAACATCAAACCCACTTTTGTTCCTTTATTTGCCCATATTGGGGTCACCTCTTTTTTTTTCACTTATCAAGGCTTTTAACTTAAGGTTTTATATTCTCACTGTAGCCAAAGATTACAATCAAGGCTTTTCTTTTAACTCATGTTTTCTTCGGGTGACAGGTTTAAGGCTACATTAAAGTCCCTGATTTCAAGTCAATCCTCTTTATATTATACAATTTCCCCATCAGGAAGGAGCTTTTCAGTGGTTGGGGGGGGGGGGGGGGGGGGGGGGGGGTTATTTCTGGGAAAACAGATTTTCTGCATCCTGTGCTGTGTTGTTTTGTCAAAACATAATTCCAACAATTTTTTTTTTTTTATAGGAATTCATATTATTATACCAATATATATTGATGGGACTTAAAAATTGACTAAATTATTCGCTGCAAATGATTAAAATACAAGCATTGAAATGAAAACCTATTATTGGAAATCTAGACCAGTTATGGCTTTAGAATCGGAGTGTCTGAAATAAGCTTCCACTTGGTCATCTCTACCAAATGGAGCTCTAGAGGCGTCTCCGTTTGGAGGATTTCTCCAGAACATCCAACTGATAAAATGTCTGGCCTGATCCATAATTTGCTAAATGACTGTATATATATTAACCCATAGTATCATGAAAAAAATAATTAAATCCTCTTGATTCTTTCAAAACAGCCTTTAAAGATGACAGATTAATTAATATCCAAACCAGTTTGAGCCCATGTGAAATGTTTTTAACCTTTTTTTGGCATGTTCAAAAACTTTATCCTTTGTTATTTTACAAATCAATTCTGACACTAACATTTCTTGGTTCAGTTTCCCTATGAACACCAGGCCTGATTACTGGAAGACATTTATTATCAAGAAATACCATAAATGACCCTGTCTGACAACAAGAAGCAGATATGAAGATCTAAAAAATGACAAGACCAAAAACATACTTTATGCCTTATTTTAAGAATTAATCATAAAGTCATGACTTAAACAGACCAAAATTAATGCAAGAATGCATTGAGGGCCCATCAGCGAGGACCCAGAAAATTTAAAAGCCTTACAGAACAGACTTGTTACCATTTAGTTCAGTGATTATATTCAATAAAAACAGAATGGATAAACAATGGTGCCCATATGAGAGCCCCGAGGCCAAAAACCACAGTTAAGAAAATAAAAAATCAGAAACATAAGACCTCAGAAAAACAACATATTTTCAAAAAGAGAAATGTAAAAGACTCCAATAGATATCCTAAGCTCTTGATGGCAGCCGTTCAGTGTTTAGGGTGGCATTGGCTCAGATTGGTTTTGATAACTTTTCTTTTTTTTTACCTTAATGAACCTAGTCAATTTTTAAAACTGAATTTTAAAATTAGTCAGATCATTTAATTCGTTATGTTTGTTTGATGATCTAACCCATTTAAGGTACGCCTTGTGATGCACACTAGTGACTGATAAGAGGGATGTCTAGGTTTCATTTCTAGACTTCAAACCTCCGTCACTCGGTCTTAAATAAGTGGGAGGAAATTATGGATCATCTTCTGAGACCTTAAATCAATTAACCTTGTTTAGTGGCAGAACGCAGAAATGCTCAAATTAACTCATCTTAAAATAGATCCAACTTTCCTTGAGTTGTTAAAAAATTAGCCATCTTAGAATCTGTTTTTATATCCCTTTGTTTTTGTTAACATTAAATCATTCCACACAGAAAATATCACATTCCAAATATTTTTATTTTTTTCCCCGCTCGAATTAAAAAAAAGAAAGAAAAAAAAAAAACAGTGAAGAGAAGCAGACAAAAACAACCCAACTCATATACTGGGGAAAAGGAAGAGAGAAATTCAGACAGTACCCTGTGCGCTGTGTTTTCCTGTGCATAGATGGGATAAGAAAGAATGAAAAAATAAAGCTGTTAAAAACAGAAAAGTGAAAGAAAAATATTTATCTGTGTATACTTTACTAACACTTAAAAGCTTTAATTATAAAAGTATGTATTTTTTTTCCCACAGGCAATATCACAGTATAAAAATGACTATAATCAAGGCCTTTTTTTAAATAGCAGCTTTTTTTGTACATGTAAACAGAGTGTGACTATTTATTTGCTCCCAAAAACCTTTATCACAGATACTTGTGGTATGTAGGCCTACTCAACTAAAAACATAATAGTTCGAAGAAATGTTACTTCAGCTATGCTTAGAAATGAGATGCTATCACAGCCACATGCCAGAGAATGGCATCTCCGTGGAAATGTCTGGGCTTGCTGTTTAAAGGACATCCGGATGACGGCCCCTTCTGTTGCCGCTTGGCTTCAGACTTTATATTTCTTCTTTCCACTTTCACTGATAACACATATATGCTTTAAAAAAAAAAGGAAAAAGCACAGTCAAACTCCAGAATGTAAGCGGGCCGCAGTAGATTGAGAACAAAAGCGTATTTAGCTGATTCATGTGTGACAGTCGGAGCAACTCGGCTATTATTCCGGGGCCCCCTGCTAAACAGAGTCTTTGTTGTGTAAATTGAAGACTTACATTGAGGTCCCTAAAATACTCATTGTAGTCCAAAGCATAGCCAACCACAAAACGGTCGGGTATCTCAAAGCCCACATCTGAAAGAAGAGCAGGAAAAAAGATGAATGTTAGCAGAAAATCTTTTCTAATCAGCCTTAATATGAACAAAGCAGAGACTTATTGCTTTAGTAAATCAGTTATCAGTTCCTTACAGTCAGGGACGCAGGCTAAGCTATGCTGCACTCTCTTCACCAGTAACCTGGGGAAATGAAAGCATATATTCAACATCATCTTAAGACTGTTTACTAGCCATAGTCAGTAGTCTAGTTGTAATTTAAAAAAAAAAAAAAAAAAAAAGAGGGACGTGGAATTCTTTTTTGGAAGCATACCTATCCTGATTAATATAGTCTATCAACTTAAAGCAGTATGCATGGTTGTTACATGTCAGGTACACCTGTCATTGACCTTGACCAAGGCACCTTACAGTAGAACTGCAGTCAGTCCCTGGACTAGCATGGCAATCACTGCATAGATAACTGCATATCACATAGTTAGGGACAAATTAAGGGAACAAATTTCCCACTTGGATCAGCTTCATAGTCATGGTAGGTCACTTCTTTGATTTTATTTATTTTGCTCAGGCTCCTCGTAAGCCTATAGCCAGCAAAATGTTGAAAGGGCAATATTATTGCCATTAATGTTAATATATACAGGTGCTGGTCATAAAATTAGAATATCATGAAAAAGTAGATTGATTTCAGTAATTCCATTTAAAAAGTGAAACTTGTATATTATATTCATACATTACATACAAACTCATATATTTCCGATGTTTATTTTGTTTAATTTTGATGATTACAAATGACAACAAATGAAAATCTCAAATTCATCATATCAGAAAATTAGAATATTACTGAAGACCAATAAAAACAAAGGATTTATAGAAATGTTGGCCAACTGAAAAGTATGAACATGAAAAGTATGAGCATGTACAGCACTCAGTATTTAGTTGGGCCTCCTTTGGCCTGTATTACTGCAGCAATGCGGCGTGGCATGGAGTCGATCAGTCTGTGGCACTGCTCAGGTGTTATGATAGCCCAGGTTGCTCTAATAGTGGCTTTTAGCTCTTCTGAATTGTTGGGTCTGGTGTATTGCATCTTCTTCTTCACAATACCCCATAGATTTTCTATGGGGTTATGGTCAGGAGAGTTTGCTGGCCAATTAAGAACAGGGATACCATGGTCCTTCAACCAGGTACTGGTAGCTTTGGCACTGTGTGCAGGTGCCAAGTCCTGTTGGAAAATGAAATCTGCATCTCCAAAAAGTTGGTCAGCTGCAGGAAGCATGAAGTGCTCTAAAACTTCCTGGTATGTGGCTGCGTTGACCCTTGACCTCAGAAAACACAATGGACCAACACCAGCAGATGACATGGCACCCCAAACCATCACTGACTGTTGAAACTTTACACTGGACTTCAAGCAACGTGGATGAAGTGCCTCTCTTCTTTTCCTCCAGACTCTGGGACCTTGATTTCCAAAGGAAATGCAAAATTTACTTTCATCAGAGAACATGACTTTGGACCACTCACCAGCAGTCCAGTCCTGTTTCTCTTTAGCCCAGGCAAGACGCTTCTGACGCTGTCTGTGGTTCAAGAGTGGCTTGACACAAGGAATGCGACAGCAGAAACCCATGTCTTTCATACGTCTGTGTGTGGTGGTTCTTGAAGCACTCACTCCAGCTGCAGTCCACTCTTTGTGAATCTCCCCCACATTTTTGAATGGGTTTTGTTTCACAATCCTCTCCAGGGTGCGGTTATCTCTCTTGCTTGTACACTTTTTTCGACCACATCTTTTCCTTCCCTTCGCCTCTCTATTAATGTGCTTGGACACTGAGCTCTGTGAACAGCCAGCCTCTTTAGCGATGACCTTTTGTGTCTTGCCCTCCTTGTGCAAGGTGTCGATGGTCGTCTTTTGGACAACTGTCAAGTCAGCAGTCTTCCCCATGATTGTGTAGCCTATAGAACTAGACTGAAAGACCATTTAAAGGCTTTTGCAGGTGGTTTGAGTTAATTAGCTGATTAGAGTGTGGCACCAGGGGCCATCAATTTTGAACCTTTTCACAATATTCTAATTTTCTGATATGATGAATTTGAGATTTTCATTTGTTGTCATTTGTAATCATCAAAATTAAACAAAATAAACATCTGAAATATATGAGTTTGTATGTAATGTATGAATATAATATACAAGTTTCACTTTTTAAATGGAATTACTGAAATCAATCTACTTTTTCATGATATTCTAATTTTATGACCAGCACCTGTAGTAGAACTTTTACACATTCAGTAATAGAATGTCACAGGGGATGGTATGGGGGGATGGTCATTTAAAGGGGACCACTGTTTTTTTTACATTGGCCCCTTGATCTTACGTTATTACATCATGCTCTACTCACCCATATTAGTTTTGTGTCATTTGGAGCTGTTCTGAAGATATTCGGTTTTGGTATATCCAAGTAACGTCTTCCTATGGGCAACAAGTTGAATTCATAACATGAAGGTGAATCACTTACCCCCAGACATCCGCGGTTATATTTTTCTGTTTTTATTTTTTTTTTTACAAAACTGAGTGTGTATGACGTCACAAAACTCATATAGGTGAGTAGAACATGATGTAATAATGTAAAATCAATGGGCCAATGTAAAAAAAAAACGGTGTTCCCCTTTAAGAAGGGAGATGTTTTTTAAAATTTTTTTAAGAAGGGGGATGGCATCCCCCCTCATCTTGAGTATTGGTCATAATTAAAAATAATAAAAAAAAAAAAAAAAAAAAAAAAGAGAGAGAGCTCAGTCTGTGTGTGTCTAGACTGAAAGGTAGGATCTGGGTGTTTCAAAAAACAGGCCTTTACCCTGCGACTTTGATCATTTTGGGTCTGAAGGCTTGGACATGCTTGAGGAGAGTCTCCATTGTCTTTCCAGTGCCAACAATGCCCTGTAAGGAAGGAAGATGTTAAAGCAATGAGTTAGGAAAACCGGTAAATGCCAATCTGGAAATGCAGACAACGAAGAGCTTCACATCACACTGAAATGAAAAGGATCAAACCGTGTCTCACTGTGCTTTTATTACACAACATTTCCTGAACATCAATCAATCTTTTCCAGAAATCATATGATATTTCACATAAACCCTGATAGGCTTTATGCATTTTTCTGCTGATTGATATGATCGCCAGCTAAAACAGACTACATTATAAACACAAAGTCAATTCAACTCAGTTTATTTATATAGAGGTAATTCAAAAAACATGTCATTTCAAGGCGCTTTTCAGAGATAATTTAATCAGATCACACTGTCTGAAAAACCAGCTTAAAAAAAAAAAAAACAGTTTTTTTTTTTAAAGCTGGTTTTTTAATACAGTTCTAAATCGATTAATTTCGATCTGTTTTTACAATACAGGTGCTGGTCATAAAATTAGAATATCATGAAAAAGTAGATTGATTTCAGTAATTCCATTTAAAAAGTGAAACTTGTATATTATATTCATACATTACATACAAACTCATATATTTCAGATGTTTATTTTGTTTAATTTTGATGATTACAAATGACAACAAATGAAAATCTCAAATTCATCATATCAGAAAATTAGAATATTACTGAAGACCAATAAAAACAAAGGATTTATAGAAATGTTGGCCAACTGAAAAGTATGAACATGAAAAGTATGAGCATGTACAGCACTCAGTATTTAGTTGGGCCTCCTTTGGCCTGTATTACTGCAGCAATGCGGCGTGGCATGGAGTCGATCAGTCTGTGGCACTGCTCAGGTGTTATGATAGCCCAGGTTGCTCTAATAGTGGCTTTTAGCTCTTCTGAATTGTTGGGTCTGGTGTATTGCATCTTCTTCTTCACAATACCCCATAGATTTTCTATGGGGTTAAGGTCAGGAGAGTTTGCTGGCCAATTAAGAACAGGGATACCATGGTCCTTCAACCAGGTACTGGTAGCTTTGGCACTGTGTGCAGGTGCCAAGTCCTGTTGGAAAATGAAATCTGCATCTCCAAAAAGTTGGTCAGCTGCAGGAAGCATGAAGTGCTCTAAAACTTCCTGGTATGTGGCTGCGTTGACCCTGGACCTCAGAAAACACAATGGACCAACACCAGCAGATGACATGGCACCCCAAACCATCACTGACTGTGGAAACTTTACACTGGACTTCAAGCAACGTGGATGAAGTGCCTCTCTTCTTTTCCTCCAGACTCTGGGACCTTGATTTCCAAAGGAAATGCAAAATTTACTTTCATCAGAGAACATGACTTTGGACCACTCACCAGCAGTCCAGTCCTGTTTCTCTTTAGCCCAGGCAAGACGCTTCTGACGCTGTCTGTGGTTCAAGAGTGGCTTGACACAAGGAATGCGACAGCAGAAACCCATGTCTTTCATACGTCTGTGTGTGGTGGTTCTTGAAGCACTCACTCCAGCTGCAGTCCACTCTTTGTGAATCTCCCCCACATTTTTGAATGGGTTTTGTTTCACAATCCTCTCCAGGGTGCGGTTATCTCTCTTGCTTGTACACTTTTTTCGACCACATCTTTTCCTTCCCTTCGCCTCTCTATTAATGTGCTTGGACACTGAGCTCTGTGAACAGCCAGCCTCTTTAGCGATGACCTTTTGTGTCTTGCCCTCCTTGTGCAAGGTGTCGATGGTCGTCTTTTGGACAACTGTCAAGTCAGCAGTCTTCCCCATGATTGTGTAGCCTATAGAACTAGACTGAAAGACCATTTAAAGGCTTTTGCAGGTGGTTTGAGTTAATTAGCTGATTAGAGTGTGGCACCAGGGGCCATCAATTTTGAACCTTTTCACAATATTCTAATTTTCTGATATGATGAATTTGAGATTTTCATTTGTTGTCATTTGTAATCATCAAAATTAAACAAAATAAACATCTGAAATATATGAGTTTGTATGTAATGTATGAATATAATATACAAGTTTCACTTTTTAAATGGAATTACTGAAATCAATCTACTTTTTCATGATATTCTAATTTTATGACCAGCACCTGTAATGAAAGTGGTTCAACTGTTTTTCAAAATACTCATGTATTTTATTTTTTCCTGTCACATTAAACACAAAATGCAAACTTGTAAATCAGTCTAAACTTGAGATGTGAACAAAACTGTCTCATAAGTGCAAACTTGTTTGTGAAAAGTGAAGCCTCACCTGACCAAGCAGACGTAACACAGCGGGGACACAGCAGACATGCATGAGCTGCATAATCTTCGCTGCACAAACCATATTTGCAGCACTGTCTGTAACAACTAAAGGGTGTTTGCTGTTCAGCCCCCATTTGTTAATGTCATCAGTCAACCTATTGGCTATATTTGCAGCTGTCTGGCTTGAAATCATCTTGAGAGCATCTCTCCTGCTCATTTAAATGTGAAAGTTACGTGCGTCTCATTCATCGATTTTGCAAAAATGTAAAAGAATCGATTCAAAATCGATTAAATCAATTTTTTACTTTGCCCTAGTTGATACTGAAGTTAAATGGTATAATAAGAACTGTAGTAAAAAAGAAAATCTGTTTATCAGCAGATAATCAGTGTCCTGCACTCTCACTGGACCATCCCCTTTTAATTTTGTTTTCTTAATTTTCATTTTTTTCACAGCGATTTATTGTCATTACATTGTAACAAGTACAGTGCAATGAAATTCACTCTCTGCTTTTAATCCATCCCCATGAGTAGCAGTGGGCTGCCATCGTGCGGCGCCCGGGGAACGGTGTGGGGGTTAAGGGTCTCCAACTCAGAACCTCTGGATACCAAGCTCTATGCCCTAACCACTAGGCCGCCACTTCCCGACGACAAAGGTATCTGTGTAAACTGTTGCTAAAGACAAAAATGGGAATCTTCTCCAGGAGTGAGCTGTCGTTACCGTTTAAATCTCGAGTCTTCATCGGCTTAAGATTAATTACAAATCTCTAAAAAGAAAAAAAAAAATGATCACCTGAAAACATTCCAATAAAGATATGCTTCAATTGAAAATATGGGAAATAGGAGTGTAAATACTAGTTGCTTTCCTAAAATAAATGAATACATAAAATACAACCACATGGAACCAAATAGTCCCGAGAAAAACCTAAACTGTTTACTTTAAAAAAAGTTTCAAGAAACACAATGCTCTAAACAAAATAGTTTTCCAACTACACAGGAGATCCTCCTACTGATTACTGCAATAAAAAAGAAAAGTTTCACCTGGACTGCTGAGACAGACTTATCTTGTAGACTCTGTTCTCTGTAAGCAATCATCATAATTTAAGTCAGAACTTCTTCCCTATGCAGCTTTTTTTTTTTTTTGTCCAGCGCACGGATTGCTAATATAGAGCTATTGTGCTTACAGGACAAAGTTAATCAGAAAAGCAGACCTCTCCATTCTTGAAAATAGGTCAGGCTATTAAAGAAGTTTTCCATAATGTTTAAACCCAGTTTTTGTGGTAAACGAACATTAAATGGCTCCTCACAACCGGGAAAAACTATCATGACGGTGCACATACAATGAGTCCATTTTGCAAAATGGAAAAGAAAAAAAAAACAATGCAGTAACGAGGCGGACTCACCTCAATAATCAGGACGTTCTTATGAGAGCAGGATGGGGAAAGAAGAGAGGAAAGGAAGCAAACAAAGATGCTTGATTAGAAAAACAATATTTTTTTTACATTAAAGTTACCATATGACAAAACAGCTATGAATCACTACAGATAAGCATGTTTGGTTCCTTAATGAAAACAGAAAGTAAAACATTGTTTTTCACAATGACTTAATGGAGAAGGTTTGAAATTTAGCAACACTACAGTCAGTCACATGCAATGAAGGCTTTTAGTTTCACTTATATGCCCCTTTTTCTCAAGATAAAGACTGCTGCAGAGGAATAACTGCATCCTGCTGATTGTAAATCTATTTTTCAGCAGTATTTCTCTTAATGTCAGCCAAATAGCTGAAATTCTGCAGATGCTCATCTAATCAAAAGAAGACTTGACACAAATCACAATCTAGGGAAAATCTAAAAAAAACGCTTCTTCTTTTCTAGGTCTCAAAAAGAGATTAAACCCCTTCAGTTTTCAAGAGTTTTGAACAAAAGGCTCATCCAGGCATGCAATGGTGCTATGTTTACGTCTCACTATTCCTACAGATTTATTCAGGGTGCAGTGAACTCAGGATAAATATAAACTAACGAGGTATGTGTAAAGTAGGCAGAAAAAAGGACAAAAAACAGCTCCTAGTTAACTCTCACCAGTGTGAGTAACAAAGCTGCTGCTAAATATTACTTTATATGTCATGAAGCTCAATAACTTCACACACACGCGTAAAATACTGCAAGGAAATCCCACAGCGGGGAGTCAGACTTAATAGCTGTCGTGGTTTTTATGCTGCAGGCCTCTGCAGTAGTCTGCACCTGGCTACAGGACGGACTGCTGTCCAGCTGAGCAATAAGCCTGACTGTGAAAGATCAGATGAGGTGATGACACTTTAGACTAGCCCTCTAAAATTAAGATTCTCTTACTTATGACTCCTTTAAAAGAAATCATATGAGTCACATCCTCATTTACATTCAAATGAGCAGCAATCTGTAGTTAATCGCTGGCAAAGGAGCTAAAAACACCAGTATGGTCACTGCAGCAGATAAATAATAAATCAAACTTAAAACCGGCTCTAATGTAAACTTGTTAAGCCTATATTTGCATGAAGGCAGCTTGAAGGTTTGTGTCTCATCAGATGTTTCCAAACATCTTAGGAAATGTCTAAATAAGTGCTGGACCAAGTCCTAGAAACTGCAAAGACATAAACGAAGATAAGTGTTTAAACCGGATGTTTTATGAAGAAAGGTTTCGCTAAATGCTTTAATAAGCAAATGTGCACAAAAAAAATTGCAGAATAAAAAGGGAATTTAGTTTTATAAGCAACTTCTGTTTGCCTGCATCTTATTATCTGTTCCTTGGAAACAAAAGTAAACATTCTTGGCGGTTTAATGCTGTTTATGGTTGTCACACTGGGTGTCTTTCTAGAATACTTTGATGGGCACTTTCATACAATTATCCACTTAAATCATAAATAATGAAAACTAAAATGATTTATTTATAAAAAGAATCTCAGCTTCCATTTGACTTCAGCATTTTTGTCAAATACCATAAATTATGTTTATTTTTCCCACATTTTCCACATAACAGGTCTAAACACACCACCCTCTTAACATAATAGCTGTATTCCCAACATGGCTTGCAGCAAACTGCAACTAAAACCTATTTTGCCTGTTTAAACCAAATGATATATGCCCGTCTTCATGATTTACATTTCTGGTTGTTACATGTCTTTTTATTTTAACATTGTAGTATGACCTTTTTTTCCCCAAAATTCATGTATAAATTTGTCTTTAAATGCCAAGCAAGAGTGCTAACTATGTCCCTAAAGAGAAAAATATGTTTAAAACATAAAACAATATAAGAAATATCCCATGGGCTCTCAAAATACTGGTCTTGTGATCGCTCGTAGTGGTGCTGTTCAATAAAACCCATTTAGGAGATAATATAGAGACTATCTGAGCTTTGTTAACAGTCAGAATGCACTCCAGTTCAAAGGGGCACAGACTGTTGTTAGGTGATAACAAGACAAGCAGCTGAGGAGGGAGCCTAAAGCAACAGGACTACTGTCACCCATCTACTATACATACTCACAATGTCTTTACATTTTCACCTCCTCAACACTTTGTAAGATAATATACAGCAAACCTTTAAACAACTGCATTAGAACAGCTGGTATCTGATTAGAGCTGTCTGACCCTGCCATCTCTGATCTGCTTTATGGAACCATGTTGTCAGGTTGAAGGAGGCAGCAAATTTAGAGGAAAGGCTGCCCTCTGGAGGCCGTTCTCAATAAATGCAATCATTAAACTACTATCTAATAGTGAATGGTTTTATTTGTAATCTTTTCTCCAGTAATAATCTTACCTTTCCAGCTAAAAAAGACAGATCCTCTGCTCCCAGTATGTGAAGATCTTTTGTCGACTGGTCATTCTGCAGAAATAAACGTTTTATAACCTAAGGTTAACCAGTACATTTTACCATTAAAAAATAAAAATGAAATTTTCAATTATAACAAATGTTTTCAGTTACTTTTTTTATTACTAGTATTAGTATATATTTTTTTTTTTTGCTTAAGTAAAAATTATGTTCAAGTAGTTCTAGTCTTAGTTAAGTAGAATTTTCGGCTACTCTGCCAAGCTTTGTCATTGGTTGTTTTTTTTTTTTTTTGGTCTTTTTCTTAACAAACAAACTCATCTGTGCTACAGTTGCACAAAGATGCCACTGTCATATTGCTGACACACAGATCCTCTGACTAAGTCATGAGACTCAGATCCATCACTGTGGATAATGTCAACCCTTAAAGCAGCCTCAGCATCCTTGCAAACAGGCTACCTCAGGTCAAACGCTGGGTGATCTCCTTTTACTGCAGCACAGAAATGATGGGAGGGCTCACCAGGTAGCTTCTGAGCCTAATGAAGTGGACTCTCATGGGGATTGTGTGGCTGGAGTTGCGGCTGAGAGCCTTGATCCGTTCCACCAGGTCGGCGCAGAACTGGTAGCCTCCTTTTAGTACGCACAGCACCACAATGTCATGGTCCCCGAGGTCATCCATGATGTTCCGAGCAAGACGTTCTGTCCTGAAAAAAAGAAGGAGAAAAGGACTAATTTGGAACTTCAGCTTAAGGTTCAAAGATCCCTTATTACTATGAAGTCTAAAAGAAAATAAGGTGTACTCTTAATTCAAACTGTCCATAAATTATCTAGGACAGGTTGCGTAGATCTAACTTTATTGGATATTATAAAGGTTACACGACAGCATAAAATCCATCTTAACACCTTTTATTTTATTCATTTTCCCCATCTTTTGTAAAGAACAAGTGATAGATCTTATATAGATCTTTGCACAACTATGAAAACACCAAAATTATAATGATCAGTGCAAAACAATGTTGTGTAAATACAGGTTTTATATTATATTATTAAATATTATTATTATTATATATATTTAAAGGTTAACTTAAACTGACTTAATCAGCAGCCAAACAAGTGATTGATGTTACAGGCTAGGTTGCCAAATAATGTAAATATTTACAGCTCATTCGGCTTTTGTTTACAAATCCCTTTGTGTGACAGGTTCAGAGCAACAAAACTAATCAGCTTGGGTGCAGGGACCCTTTGCAAATAGAGAAACGTTTGTCCTGGGCTTCCCAACTGGTAGGTCAACGTTATTTTTAGTTCATTAGTTATTCTGTCAAATGAGTAATCTGTTTTTTTTTGTCCACTGACCCTGTGTATGCACACCTCCAAATTGCACCCATATGCAGACTGTTTAATGTGAAAACTTAAGATCAAAAACCAAATATTTTCAGTTGTGCTTAAAGAACACCCAAAGAGACTGGCATATATTTCTCTTTACCATTATTTCATCTCTAAAGAGTCTAGGTAGAGAAAACAAACTACTGGTTTAATATTCAGCAGGCAAAATGGTGTAAAAAAAAAACTCTTAAAATAAGTTTGGATTACAGTGGCTGTGGAATTCTATTGTTGTGACCAAACCTTTAATAATCACATTTATACACTTATTAAAAAACATATTTGAACTGGGCTCCACAAAACAAATACAACTGCTGCATCCCTTATCAGAATTAATTTGATCCATTAAATTATTAATTTATTCCAATGTAAAGTTAAACCGAAATATCACAACGAAAATGTTATATTGGAAACATGTCAAATAAAATAAAAACAAAAATCAAACTACATTTCTTGTCTCGATCTAAACTTAGCAGTTTACTTAAACAGCTTCTATCCCTGCATTAATTGCATGGGCAGGTTAAAGGAAAATTCCGGTTTTTAACACTTTTAGCCCATTTTCTGTAGTGTACAGGATGAAATCGAATGATCGACACCAAAATTTTGACAATTGGTCCTGTCTCTGCTATTTGGCTCATGCAGAATCCCCCCCTGGCTGCTTCAGAATGGCTTCCATAGTGCATGTCCGATAATGTCCTTAAAACAACCTTAAACGTTCTTTTTTTAAAATATGCTACTCACCGGGTCGTCAGCGCTGTTCAATGACGTTCAAAAACAAGTTTCGTAAAAAAAAAAGGTTCCTGTAGTGTTTTATTTAGCATTTTGTAAATCCCATTGAGTTCTGTTGGAATAGTCAATATCCTTCCGCCACCGGAAACGGAAATGGGGCCTGTTTACGCTTAGTTGTAGTCTTTTCGCAAGGCCAAAGTGTTTCTGCTTCACTCTGTGTACTCCGACGTTGAGGTGCTAACGTCTCTGTTAAACACTTTAAAAAACTCTGAAAATGGAATACGAAAGGTGGATTCTTGAGGAGGACATATTGGACTTTGAGTTTGACGGTAGAGGATACTGTCGCCAACTAGTGGTCTGGAGTGTGCAACGCTTCAGATTCGAACGGGAAGCGGAAGTTTATAAGCGGTTGTGATGTATCGGAAAAAATAGTTCTGGGATTTACAAAATGCTAAATAAAACAAGACAGGAACGGTTTTTCTTCACGAAACTTTTTTCGGAACGTTATTGAACAGCGCTGACGACCCGGTGAGTAGCATATTTTAAAAAAAAGAACGTTTAAGGTTGTTTTAAGGACATTATCGGACATGCACTATGGAAGCCATTCTGAAGCAGCCAGGGGGGGATTCTGCATGAGCCAAAAAGCAGAGACAGGACCAATCGTCAAAGTTTTGGTGTCGATCATTCGATTTCATCCTGGACACTACAGAAAATGGGCTAAAAGTGTTAAAAACCGGAATTTTCCTTTAAATAGCGCATTTTTCAAATATTCAGACATCTGGTTTATCATTACATTTATCAGATTTTCTTATACTGAAAAGAATATGGAAAAATACATTGACATTTTAATTTTATTTAGCAAATAATGTGTAAACACATGCAAAGTAAAACTCTAAATATGTTCATCTCTAAATGGACTTCCACCATCTATGGGTTCCTCTATTTTTCCCCCCACTGGTTACTTTGAAACTAGGCCATGAACAGAAGACATTCAAAAAGTATACAAACACAAATACAAAAGAATGTCTATGTGACATACTTTCTAATCTCCCCCCTGATGATCAGTTTTTAGCTATGTAAAACTTTAATTAATCAGTTAATCTACAACAATCAATTTAATTAATCAATTAATTAACAATTAATCAAAATATGGTATCATAGAAATAATCATAAACTAATTTAGTAATGGATTAACCATTAACTGGAGTATGGAGACTCTAAAACATGCTTTAAGCTGATAGAGCAACCCACTAAGAGCAGTAATTATATGAAAATTGTTTAAAAAAATATTAACACTTAATTTAAGATAAAAACATTTTCATCTGTCAATATGCTCTATCCTTAACTCCTTAAGTGTAAAAGTTTTAGTTTCAGCTGGTTTAATTTTATAAAAAGTCTTCTTTAAGGAAATTAATCGATTAATCAAAAAATTAATCGATTTGCAAAATAATCGTTAGTTGCAGCCCTACTTCTATGCAACCAAGAAAAGAAAAAGAAAAACCATGAGAAGGATATTTGCTTAGGGCCTCAGGAAGCTGCAGTTACCTGTCCATAATGACGCCATGTGGGATGATGACACAGTCTAAGTCTCCGCAGTAATGAGCTGGATAGTTGAAGAGATCTAGACTGTATCCTGGCCAGTCATCTTTGATCTAAGAGGAAAAGGGAAAACATAAACATTATTCTGAGGATGCACAATGGAAAACTAAACTTTTTTTTCACACGAGCTCCCCCACTAAACTCTTTGCAGAGCAGAAATGCATGCTGCTGTGCTTCACATAAAAACCAATCTACTCTAAAGTGATCGTTGAAATGATGCCTCTATCTGAGCACTGGTCCATTTCCTGTCCGTTAGAGTTCCCTTATTAAATTACCACAATGCCCTCGGTTCTTCTGTCGGTCTGAGCGACAACTTCAGCCATGTTTTACTTCGAACACAAGGAGGGAGAGGTGGTGGAGCAACGCTACAGAGGGGTTTGGCACCGTGATGAGAGGAGGAGCATCTGAGCTGAGGAATGTGGAGTCTGTCCTGCAATACTGCGGCCACTAGAGGCGCTCTAACACAAGATTTCATCACAGCACAGTCAGACTACTCTGCTCTCTGTCAGAAGGTCTGAGCTGAGCTGCTCCAGGCTCAGCGGGAATAACAGACATTACCTACTGGGAAACTTTGCTTTCAGATATACTGTTATTAGCTTTGGTTTGTGTTATTCAACATTGAGATTTAAAATCAAATGTTAAACCTTTACATTTAAGCACAGAGTGTTGTGGCCATTTATGCTAAATTCTTGTAATTTGTTATTTCTACAAATTTATTTTTTGTCTTTTGGTATATAGAATATATTTAAGTTAATTTAGAACCAAAATGTGTTATTTATTTTTTACATTTGGAGTAGTTTGGAGTAAGTTCTTAATTGTTTGTCCCTCCCATTAATTTGAGTGATTAGGAGCACACCAGGTGTTGGAGGATGTTTGGTAAAATGTCTAGTGTGGATGGGAGGTTTTGAAAAATGATTTTTTGACCACTTTTTTGGAAGTTTCAAAACATTAAATTTCGTTTCTACTAAGTTCCAAGACACTTGAAGTATTTTTTCCTTTTTTTTTTTATATATTTTTTATTCTTGCCTTTTAAGCCAAGCTGGAAGTGTGTACAAAAACAAAACCACCTGTTACCACCCACGGCCTTCATTGGAAACTTTGGTACTTTATTTTTGTTGGAACAGAAGGCCGCGACATTTAAGTCAAAAAATCATTTATTTTTGGTTTTTTGGACCTGCTTGGAAAGTTTGGATTTTGGAAAAGCTTGGAAGATCGGATGATCAGACTTGGATGACTGAAACTTCATGGAAAGAACTTGGAGAAGACCTGCAAAGTTTGTGAGTAAATGCCATACTTTGTTGGAAAGAGCAAAGACGCTGAACTGAAAGTGAAAAGTTTGTCTTGGAAAATTTTCTTTTGGATCTGGAGAAACGAAATTTGTGTTGAAGATGGAAGAAGATGAAGGTCTTCAAAAAGAAAAAGAACTCTTTAATGTAATTAAAAGGCGTAGAGCCAAACTTGGCGTGCTGACAAGAAAGAGAAATGACATTCATGCTTTAATTGATGCTGGAGAATCAAAATCCTCCATAGATGAGCATATGATAACCTTTAATAATTATTTAGCGGAGTTTATGGACTTGCAATCTTCAGTTCAAAGACTGCTTAATGATGATGAAAAAGAAACCGATCACGGTGATTGGTACGAACCAAAGCTGATCAGTTTTAAAGAGTTTTTGGATGAAATCGAAAAATGGATGGATGGCGATCCAGATGCACAGAAGAATGAAGTATGTTCAATGTTTGATGTTGAATTAAAGGCAGCATCTAATGACAGCGACATTGAGCCAGATGACAGCATCTCACAGACTGCGCAAACGATCGGCAAAGACTCTGAAAGGCTTTCTGGGTCCGCAGCTAAACCAGTCATGAAGAAAACCAGCACGGCGTCCAGTAAAGTGAGTAAAAGTAGTGCGCAGAGTAAGAGTTCCCGTGCGGCTTCAGTGGCGCTGATGGAAGCTGAAGTGGAAAGAGCCGCTCTGAAAGCAGAGGTGGATGCGCTGCAAGAAAAACATGCGATCGAGTTGGAAGAACTTCAGATAAAAGCAAGAAAAGAAGCATTGGCCTTAAAAACCAAGCTGGTGAAGGCAGATGCAAAGATGAAATCCAGCGCTGGTGTCGCCAATACAGCAGTTTCTGCGACATCTACTGAGTTCATACCTGCTGCTACAGCTCAAAAGGCTCAAAGAACACAGAAAAGATTGTCTACTCTTGCATCTTTGCCAATGCCCCAGGAGTCGCCTTTTAATGAAACTTTAAAAGTGAAACCAGAAGGGGAAAACCCCAGACAAATATCTTCTCAGACTGATAGTAGTGCATTAACAGAGATTATGAAGAAGCAAAATGAAATCACTGAGATGCTTGTTAAACAGCAAAGACTGTCACTTCTGCCATCTGTAGAAATCCCTGTTTTTAGTGGAGATCCTTTGCATTTTAGGTCCTTTCTTAAGGCATTTGAGCAAGGAATAGAAACTAAGACGGATAACATGCAAGACAGGCTGTATTACTTAGAACAGTTTACCACAGGCCAGCCTAGAGCCCTAGTGAGAAGTTGTATGCACACGAGTCCACAAACTGCTTACTTGGAAGCAAAAAGACAGCTTGAGTGGAACTTTGGTAACAGAGCAAAAATAACATCTGCATTTATAGATAAAGCTCTGAATTGGTCGGTTTTAAAATCTGATGATGCTGCAGCTTTAAGAGCTTATACATTCTTTTTAAGAGGTTGTTTCAACACAATGGATGAAGCTGGGTTTATTGATGAGCTTGAAAACTCAACCAATATGAGAATTCTTGTTTCAAAGTTGCCCTTTAGACTTCGTGAAAAATGGCGACTAATTGTGGTTGACATAGCAGAAAAGTATGATCGCAGAGCAAAGTTTAAAGATCTTCTTGATTTTTTAGAAAAACAAACAAAAGCTGCATTAGATCCTGTTTTTGGAGAAGGTCAAACTGCAAAAGAAAAGATGGCTTTAAAACCATCAAAACTTCCTTTTAAAACTAAAAGTAGTAGTTTTGCCACTTCTGTTGATGTAGTGTCTACAGAACAGAAACAGGTTCAGCTTAACCATGAGGTTACAAAGGTAGCTCAAGCTCAGTGCTTATTTTGTGATAGAAATCATTGCATGGAAAAATGTGACTCATTCAAGCAGAAAACCAACAAGGAAAAGGTGGAATTCCTTAAAAGTAAAGGTTTATGCTTTGGCTGCTTACAGAAGGGGCACATGAGCAAGAACTGTTCACAACGTCTAACATGCCTCACCTGCAATAAAAGTCACCCTACTGTTCTGCATATTGAACCAACAGAGAAACGGTATCAAGCAGTTAAGGCTGAGAGTAAAGGGTCACCAGTCTCAAATGCTCTAGTATCTTTGAATGTTGGTAGTTACACTGGGGCCGGGTCTAGTGAGTGTGTTCTGTCAGTCGTCCCAGTAAAAGTAAAGTTGGAAAAAGGGACAAAGATTGTGGAGACTTATGCTTTTCTAGATCCAGGCAGCTCTGCAACTTTTTGTACAGAGGCTTTGATGATGCAGTTAAATGCACCTGGAAAAAAGGTTGAAATCATGCTAAAAACCATGGGCCAGGAAAAACCTGTAAGTAGCTATAAAGTATCTGGTTTGGAAGTAGCTGCTTTAAAAGAAAATGAGTACTTGAAGTTGCCTGATGTTTATACACAACAGTCCATTCCTGTGACTAAAGAAAACATCCCAAAAGAGGAAGACTTAAGAAAATGGTCTTATCTAAAAGTTGTTGAATTAACACCAATAGATGCTGGCATTGGGCTGCTCATTGGTGTAAATTCCCCCAAAGCTTTGGAACCTTGGAAAATAGTTAACAGTAGAGGTAGTGGGCCTTATGCTGTGCTGACACGCCTTGGCTGGGTTGTTAATGGTCCACTCAATCAGGGTAGTGAAGAAAATGGACGTGTTGCAGGTTCTATCCAGGTGAATCGTATCTCTATAAGCAGTTTGGAAGAAATGCTGGTCAATCAGTATAACCAAGATTTTGTAGAGCACAAGTGTAATGAGCTTATTGAAATGTCTGTAGAAGACAAAGAGTTCATAGACATCATGTCAAAGTCAGCAATGCTAAAAGATGGTCATTATCACTTGAAGTTACCTTTTCGTAATCCTGAAGTAAAAATGCCCAATAACAAACAGGTGGCCCAGCAGAGGGCGCAATGTCTGTTAAAACGGTTTCAGAAGGATAAGTTATTCTTTAAAGAGTACAAATAATTTATGCATAATGTTGATGTGGAAGGCCATTCAGAAATCATACCACAAGATCAAATCGAACATGAGGAAGGAAAGGTGTGGTACGTACCTCATCATGGTGTCTACCACCCCCGTAAGAAAACACTGCGGGTTGTTTATGATTGTTCTGCAATGTTTGCTGGAACATCACTGAACAAAGAGCTGTTACAGGGACCAGATTTGACTAGCACCCTGTTAGGTGTGCTCATTCGTTTTCGGGAAGGTCCAATAGCCCTTATGACAGACATTAAAGGGATGTTCCACCAGGTCAGAGTTGCTCAGGAACATGTAAATTACCTACGTTTTCTTTGGTGGCCCCATGGTGACATCACAAAAGAGCTTGTTGAGCACAGAATGTTGGTCCATGTTTTTGGTGCAGTCTCTTCACCTAGTTGTGCCACATATGCACTTTTAAAGACTGCTGATGATAACCAACATCTGTACCCAGAAGAGGTTATTAATACAATCAGACACAGCTTCTATGTAGATGACTGTCTTAGGTCTGTTCAGACTGTTGAGCAGGCTATTTCTCTTTATCAGCAACTCACTGAGGTGTGTGCCAAGGGGGGATTTAGACTCAATAAATGGGTGTGTAGCGAGCGTTCTGTCCTCTTGCAGATCCCTGAGGAAAACAGAGCAACAGGTGTCAGGATGCTAGATCTTAACCAGGATCAGCTTCCCACTGAAAGAGCCTTGGGGGTGCAATGGGATGTTGACATGGATGTTTTCACCTTTAGCATTGCAAACAAGCACAAACCACTAACAAGACGTGGTATTTTGTCCATTGTCAGCTCTATTTATGACCCTTTAGGTTTCTTAGCTCCAGTTGTTCTCCCTGCTAAACAGATTCAAACTCAAGTTTGGTTGGGATGAGACAGTTCCATTAGAAATGGCACAAGTTTGGTGCCAATGGGTCAAAGACATAGTTCTTCTTGATAGCTTTAGTGTCAGAAGATGCATTACACCTAAAGGATTTGGGGAAATAGAAAGTGCACAACTGCATCACTTTTGTGATGCCAGTGAAACTGGATTTGCTGCTGTGTCTTATCTTAGGCTATCTAATAGCAAACAGGAAGTGTGTGTTTCCTTTGTTATTGGTAAAGCAAGGGTAGCACCATTAAAGCAAATCACTATACCACGACTTGAACTTGCTGCTGCAGTTTTAGCTGTGCGACTGGACAA